AGCAAAATCGTGTTTTTTCTGAGCTTGTAAGCCTTATATGAAATATTCTGTTTGTTTGTTGTTTGTGTTGACTGTTTGTCTCATCTTGCAGTAGGTTACCTTCTGTTGAGTGCTGTAAGTCTTCCTCACAATAAGAAGGTGCTGGAGAGTAGCCAAGGTGAATTACGAGGACCGCGGGCCTACTGTATCCTCCTCCAATGCCTATCCCTCTCCTCTCAGAACTCTTTCCAGACCCTCTTCCACAGCCAATGTGGCCATCCAGGCGAACCCCAGAAAGGCATCCTGGAGGCTCAAGGACTTGTTCCTTTCATAATAGAGGCAGGCAGCTTCGTGCTAAATTGGGATATAGATATTGATGTTCTATTTCCCTCTTTGCACTTACCCCTACCGATATGACCTCAACAGCTGATTCTATTCACTGCAGAGAAGCAATTCTAAAAGGATGCTGTAATCAGGTCGGTCATTATCTATTTGATGACTTCTCCGCTGCAGTAAAAGCGGTCGTCTTATCCGACTTCTTCAGCCATGACTTTTCTGCAACGTGCATCTTAAGAGCACAGAACGTAGATTCCTCCCTACATCAGGTCAGCAACCTTTCCTGTTTGGTGGTCAGTGATCAGAAGCTCTGAAGTGACCCCTCCTTACATTGCTGCTCACTACCTTCCCAAATATCATCTTAGATTTGTCACTGAAAGTTCTGAATATGGCTGGTGCGGTGAGGCTCTTCATCATCAGCTTCCTTGTGTTGTTTGAACGATATTCTAATTTTTTACATAGGCTTTTCTGTAATTGTCATGAACTTTATGGGAACTGGACCCCCGATGTTGTGGGAATGAGTCCAACTACTCAATTATATTCCATGACGATTCCCGATCTTTATTTCACCATCTCAATAAATCTCTTCGAATCATTCTCTCTGTGATTGCCGCTCGTTCTGCCCAATAGCTGGTAGTCCCTGCATTCGCAAATAAACGCTGAAATATGACTCCATTCCATATCCGCACCCTTGGTCATTATGAGTATAGCACGTAAGCACGGAGAGGTGCAAAAGCTCTCTGCGGGAAGGTCCATTTCGGTTTATGCCTGAAAAAAACCTTTTTCAGAAATGAGCGCCGGTGAACGGCTCGAGATGTCCCTTGAAGGCGAAGAATCCCTCTGTTCTACATCGGAACTGTTGGACGGCAGCCAAGAGGCTGATCTGAAAGTAAACAGCCTAGTAGAAGGTGCTCCAGATGAAACTGTGATCAAGGAGCTGGTGCGAGATGTTATCGAACAACAAGTGGAATATCTCAAAGATTCTGTGGAACCCACTGATGAGTCGGTAAGCGCAAAATGTATTTTTATTTGTTAAATAAAGAAAAAACCGCTGTTCTATCTGATGACGTCACGGACACTCCTCAAGGGT